CATCGACACATGGTCATCCAGATCGATGCCCCCCTGTAGGCCACGCCCTCGGTACCAGGATCCCCAGAATTCCCTGCCCAAGTGGGCCCACGCCACTTCCGGGACCGCTCGGGTCTCTTCTCTGTTGGGGATCACGCCCCTGGTGTGACCCACCCCGAGGCTCGAGGGAGAGGATAAGGGGTGGCTGATGCGTGGGGTGTAGACAGAGCTGGGGTGTGAGGCTGGGAAGAACACAGTCCCCTCACAGAGCAAAGCAGCGGTGGGAAAAGAAGGGACCCCAATACCGATGCCACACGATCCGAGAAGTCTGCAGTGGAACCCGGCTTTTTGCTGTGAAAGGTGTCCCTGCCCCACAGGAAGCTAGAACGTAGTATTCTATTGCGCAACCTGTCCGCTTGATTTGTAACTCTTAAATATTTAGACCAGGGGTCCTCAAACTTTTTAAACAGGGGGCCAGTTCACTGTCCCTCAGACCGTTGGAGGGCCGGACTATAGTTTAAAAAAAAAACTATGAACAAATTCCTATGCACACTGCACAGATCTTATTTTGAAGTAAAAAAACAAAACGGGAACAAATACAATATTTGTATTTGCATGTGGCCCGCGGGCCGTAGTTTGAGGACCCCAGATTTAGACCGAGGGTCTCCACGTGTCCGCTTGCCCTGAGACCCACAGGTACGCAGCCCCTGGCTGGAACCCGAGGGGGGGGCGGAGGTTGCCCACACAGGCACACACGCCCGTTGCCCGGGGGCGGTTGAGAGCTTTAAAAAGCGCAGCGCTGGACACCACTCTCCCTCCTGGCCTTTCGCCTCTCAAACCACGCCGTGCTGTGGAGCATTCAAAGGGAGTTTTGTGCGGAGGGGCCTGGTGGTGACTCCCCAGGACATGCAAAGGTTAGGGCTGGACCCCGGACATTCCTGGCTGCCCCGTGCCCGGCCCTGGCATGTGCCTATCGCCCACAAGCATCTGAAGCATGTTTATGTTCAACCTGCAGCCTGTCCCGGGGAAAAGGTCCGCTGAAGCTCCGATTCGGCATGAAAGGGGCCGTTTTTCCGAAAGCTGTTTTCTGTCCTGTTCCAGGGTGACCTTTACTTCTAACAGGATTGGGTGAACCACAGCAGCTTCCCTATGAAATCTCTCTATGATTTTTTTAAATATGTTTTTCTTGATTTGGGGCAGAAAGAGAGAGAGAGAGAGAGATGAGAATCCGCTGCCTCCTGCACGCCCCCTACTGGGGATGGAGCCCGAAACCAGGGCCTGTACCCTGCCTGGGAATCGAACCAGCGACCTCTCTGTACATGAGATGGCGCTCAACCATCTGAGCCCCGTTGTCCAGGGCTCTCTGATTTTTTTATGGAGTCCGGTCATATCTCACCCCTACCCCCGCCTGCCTCTTTGCAGACCTAAATGTATGGTCTTCTCTGATGCCTCCCCAACAGCAGAAGAGAATGACTTGTCTGCCGGCAGAGCCGGGATAAAGCCCAAGGCTGACCTCATCCTGGGAGGCACATCGCTGAAGTTTTGTGGATTTTTTTTTCTTCCCCATAACGATGTTTCTACCCCCAAATAACTTTTCCCCAAGTCTTGGAGTCAAGCTGTCACTCCAGGAAGTTGGTTCCTGTTTATCCGGTGGCTTGGCATCCCCTAAGGCACCTTAGTTTGAGAAACAAAGAGGTGGTCTTTTTTTTTTTAATATATTTTTATTGATTTCAGAGATGAAGGGAGAGGGGGAGAGAGATAGAAACATCAATGATAAAAGAGAATCGTTGATCGGCTGCCTCCTGCACGCCCCACACTGGGGATCAAGCCCGCAACCTGGGCATGTGCCCTTGACCGGAATTGAACCTGGGACCCTTTGGTCCACAGTCTGACGCTCTATCCACTGAGCCATACCAGCCAGGGCCAGAGAGGTGGGCGTGACCCCGAAGGGCCCCCCGTACCCTCCTCGGCAACCCCTTTTCTGGCTCCATAGTTCCTGTCCTGAGGTGCAGACACCTGGGGCCTTGAGGAATGCTGCTCTGGGAGGGGTGTTGCAAGGATTTCTGGGAGTTCCGTATGGCACAGGTGTGTCCCCAACACGGGCACCCGGGCTCACTGGGTCCTGCCAGGGGAGGCTGGGTGGTCCTCTCGGGGCACTAACCGGCCTGTCTCCCCCACAGACCCTGACAGCTCGCTGAGCGTCAGCATCCCCGAACCGTCCCCTCTGCGGGTCCTCCTGGGGACCTCCCTCACCATCCCCTGCTACTTCATCGACCCCATGCACCCCGTGACCACCGCCCCCGCCACCGCGCCCCTCACCCCGAGAATCAAATGGAGCCGCATCTCCAAGGAGAAGGAGGTGGTCCTGCTGGTAGCCACGGACGGGCAGGTGCGGGTCAGCGGCGCCTACCAGGACAAGGTCTCGCTGCCCAACTACCCGGCCATTCCCAGCGACGCCACCTTGGAAATTCAGAACCTGCGCTCCAACGACTCCGGGATCTACCGCTGTGAGGTCATGCATGGCATCGAGGACAGCGAGGCCACCGTGGAGGTCGTGGTGAAAGGTGAGAGTCCCCCCCTCTCCCCCTCCTCAGGGATCCTGGTTCACCTGCAAAAAGAACCAAATACTTTCCTCCCCGTGTGGACCCAGACAGGCTGGCTCTCAAACCCCAGCTCCTCCCCCTGCCCGTTTGCACCTCAGTCAACTGGACTTGGAGGGGAGTCGCTATTTCCTGGCTACCGTCTCATAGAAATGGTGCTTTGCCACGACCCTGTGATTCCGTGGGCGTGTACCCATTGTACAGACAGGCTAACTGAGGCGGAGAGACTTGCCTCATGTCTCCCTGGACGTGAGCCGGAGCAGACTCCTGGCTCTTCATCCAGCTGTCTTTTCCCTCCCCCACCTCCCCACCCAGACCCCCACTCTCAGTCCCAGAAGCCAAAGAAAGGGTTGAAGACGGCCGGGTGCCCTGTCTCTCCGTGGCCCAGGGAGCATGGTCGTGTCCTTGGTTGGCTTTGATTGGCACCAGGTTTTTCCTGTTGGGAGGCCCAGTCAAAGACAGTCCACTCCTGGGGGGGGTGTCACACACAGGGTTCCCACCCGGAATCCGCTGGGCTGAGGGTACCTGGGCCCTTAAGGGTCTTTTCTCCGAAGCAAATGTGGGGCGGGGGGGATATAAGGAGACAGCTTTTATAGTTTCACGTAAAGAACCTTCTAGATGACTTCACTAATCAGCTTAAGCAGACTAAAGTGTGTTTATGTCCATAAAATGTAAGTGATCTTAACTCCATTGTGCAGTGCCTTTTAGATGATCCCCTTTCTATAAAGTCTTCACATTTTTGCATATGTATCATCTATATGATATAATGCTATAGAAATATACGTATAATATACATGTTTTTCAAGGGGTATCTGATAGCTCTGTATTTTGTTATGGGAGTTGAAAAGAAAAAAGGTATTTTCCCTCAGAAATGAAAGTTACATAAAAAAATACTTTTAAAGAATAAAATAAAATAAAAATTTTAAACAAAGAACTTTCTGATGATCAGAATTATCGTAGGTGTTCATAGGTGTGAGGTAGTGAGTTCCCTGTGGCTGGGGGAGTCCCAGCAGAAGCAGAAAGACCACATGTGGAAAGGGGAGTCACGCATCAGCTAGAGCAGTGCCGGCAAACTGCGGCTCGCGAGCCACATGCGGCTCTTTGGCCCCTAGAGTGTGGCTCTTTCCACAAAATACTGACTTCTGCGCATGGGCCCACGAAGTTTCAATCGCACTGTACGTGCGTGCCCGCACGTGGTATTCTGTGGAAGAGCCACACTCCAGGGGCCAAAGAGCCGCATGTGGCTTGCGAGCCGCAGTTTGCCAACCACTGAGCTAGAGGCTCGCCCAGCTGACTGTGAGGCCCCTTTGACCACGGCCGTCCTTCTGTGAGGGCTTCGGTTTCGGGAAGCTGTGCCTGACCTGCTCTCCGGCCCCCGTCTGTCCCGCAGGCATCGTGTTCCATTACAGAGCCATCTCCACACGCTACACCCTGGACTTCGACAGGGCGCAGCGGGCCTGCCTGCAGAACAGCGCCATCATCGCCACGCCCGAGCAGCTGCAGGCCGCCTACGAGGACGGCTTCCACCAGTGCGACGCTGGCTGGCTGGCCGACCAGACTGTCAGGTGAGCCCCAGGCCGCCGGCAGAGTGGGGTGGACGATGGGCTGGAACGGTGACCAGCCCCGAGCTGGTGCCGGTGCAACACCATGGCCAGCCGAGGGTGGGGGTGCCTTGGCCAACTCTACAGCAAGCAGCCGATGATCAACCCCGGGTCTTCGTTATTGTGTCCTGCACGGAGGGCGTGGCTGCGAGCAGCTCTGTCCTATGGGAGCATTCTCTCCAAGCAAATGACATGCACATTGTCGTCCCCCCCAAAACTTAAACTATTTGGCCCGGCCGGTGTGGCTCAGTGTGGAGCACTGACCCATGAACCAAGAGGTCACGGGCTCGATTGCTGGTCAGGGCACATGCCCAGGTTGCTGGCTTGATCCCCCAGTAAGGGGCATGCAGGAGGCAACCAGTCAATGTTTCTGTCCCTCTCCCTTCCTCTCTCTCTAAAATCAACCAAAGTATTTTTTTATGCCCTGGCTGCTTTGGCTCAGTGGCTAGAGCATCAGCCTGCGGACTGACGGGTCCCGGGTTCGATTCTGGTCAAGGGCACGTGCCCGGGTTGCAGGCTTGATCCCCAGTGTGGGGCGTGCAGGAGGCAGCCAGTCCATGATTCTCTCTCATCATTGATGTTTCTATCTCCCTCTCCCTCTCCCTTCCTCTCTGAAATCGATAAAAATATATTTTTTAAAAATAATAAAAAGAAAGAAAAACTTTTTTTAAATTTAAAATAGTTGCTCTCTGGCCTTTTACAGAAAAGGTTTGCAGGCCCCTGATAGAATGTGTTTGGTGTCCACAAGTATTCAGTAAAGGGGCTGAATCTAATCACCAATAGCTATGAAAATACACAGTTCGGTAAAGCAGACGAAAAACCTATAAAACAAATAGTCCACACATCCAGGACGGACACGGGCACACGCCTCAATGAGTCACCACTCCCTCC